CCAGTTTCTCCACAACCTCGCCAGCATTTATTGCTTGCTGTTCTGTTAAATTTTGCTATTTTGACTGGGGTGAGATGATATCTCATAGTTGTTTTAAGAGGTTCAACTTTTAATCAAACAATAGACAGGACTGTAAAGTGATCACTGGCACCAAGTAGGGATGCACTCCTTAAAACAATCAACCACACAAGGTCATGAGGGCAGTGTTTGCCCAGGGATTAAGAGCAAAAGTCAGTAAGGATAGAAAAGGAGGAGGGATGAAAATAGGAAACACATGGAAGAAGTGGAACGAGTCCTAGTATATTGTGGGGATTGTGCCCAGTGTCCTGAAACAAGGGGTGTATGAATTGTTAAATGGATAATGAATTACAAATTCAAATTACACTAAAATGTTCAAAAGAAAGAAAAAAAGGTTTTGGGATTCCATCATTGTTCACCATCATAACTGCTACTAAAAAAAAAAAGTAAAAATGAGATCACAGAAATTGCATTGGTTAAAAAAAAAAGAAATTGCATTGGTTAAGGGCCTGAGTGCACAGTCAATCACTGTAAGTGCTATCAGGAAGTTGTACATCTGTAAAGAGCTGGCTTGCTGCAGATATATTTACAACAGTTGCTTTAAAGAAAAAAAAAAGCAGCTCACAGGATTTGGTTCCTTGGTCTGCAAGTTTAAGGTCATGGTTTCATGGGACATCAATCACAGTTAATTGGCCTAATAACGTGTTTAGTGCTTTTGTTCTACTTTCTAGTTTTTGCACAGTGTCTGAGGTCTAAAAAGCTAGTAATTGGCCATTCAGGGCACAGTAATTGGTCCCTATTCACCTGGCAGCAGAGCAAGGAGAGTCAGGGGAGGATATGGAATGAAGGACTAATCGCCTGAATGAACAACCACCTCCTTTACTGTGAGGCCAAAAGAACTAGATGGTGCCCAGCAAACATTCCTCGACATCTGATCAAAGATGCCAAAAAGAATACTGATCAAAAATGGGGAAAAGCAGAACAAAGTCTCAGATTATTATGGAATTGAGATTTTCTGGAATCAGAGAAACTAGGAGAAATCCTAAAATTGTTGTTCTGAGATAATCTTTAAAATGTAAACAAAAAATACCCTCTGAAGTTGTATTTAAAACTGAACAAGAATTTAGCCTAACTAGTGAAAAAGGGTCTTCCTTGAGCATTATGATGCTTTAAGATGTTTTATCTATATGAGATCAAAGTGACAACTCACTCCTCACTCATAGCTCACACATGGCAGGTTTTCAGAGGTTGTAAGTCACATGGAAGGAATTTGCCCATTTTTCTCCCTGAGTGATTGGTGGATTCAAACCACATGATGTTGAATTGGCAGCACAGCTCCTTAGTTACTAGGCCACAGAGTTCCAAAGAGACAACAGCAACTTGAAAGATTAGATAGGAACCTCAAGGAAAAACTCTTCTGTGGCTGAGTCTGTAACAGTGAATCCTAACAGTAGTCATCACTGAGAAGTGGCCCAGGATTCTAAGGGGTTAGTTAGCAGGGCACGTTCCAAAGGTCAAATGGGTTTGACTCTGGATACTGAAGCTCAAGGGGACTGATCAGAACTTAGTCCACATCTGTGTTCCTCCGACTCCTACACTACCATACACAGCTGATCATCCATCAGTCATGAAAAGGTCCCATTGAATATAAAAAAAACCAATTCTTTGCCATGAACCAAAGGCACACAGTGAGCAAGCAAAGAGCTCTCCTATCTCCTGGAAGTGGCAAATGTCCAAGTTCAGGACAGAGAACACACTGGCACTATTGATGTTGTCAATGCTTGGGTCAATGTCCCCCCACCACACAGAGAAGATGCAGAAACCACCGCTGCCAGATTTTCAGCATCTGTGTAGCTGGCAGGAGGCGGCCACTGACTTACCTGGGGCAGTTTTGTAGCACGTCGTTCTGAAGGGCAGCGAGGGTGCGTTCTTTGCCCTGGGACTCTGTGTACTCTGCAGAACTTGCCTCTGCCTCTTCAGCTCCTCTTCCCTTTCCTGGGCTGCCCGGATCTCCTCTTCAATCATGGACAAAGTCCGCTGCTTCCTGGACCTTAGCTTGAAGGGCCCCACCATCACATCTGATTCTTGCGTGGCTAGGAGGGAGGCTGTGCTTCTCAGCTCAGCTGCCTCTGAGTATTTGCTAAAGTAGCTCCCTTCTGGCCTGGTCTCCATGTTTACTGGACCACTGGGCTGCACGGCGGGCAGGGGCTGGGAGGACTGCCTTTCCCTGAGGGCTCTGTCTTCGGCAGGCAGAATCTTTGGTAATACATCCCTTTTCTCTGGAACAGGAGAGGACACCTGAGGTGGTTCAAACATGTTCCGGGGCTTCTCTGAGCTGGAGGGCCCAGTTGGTGCCTCCTCCAGAGCTGGTGCAGGTTCTTGTTGTCTCGCCTCATCCTTGTAGGTTTTAGACCCCGCTTTATCGACTTGCTCCGCAATGGCTTGTTGAATGGCATTCTGCACGAGGAGACCAGCCTGGTATTCCAAAGGGTCGTCGACCGATGGGGAGTCTCCCAGCGTGGAAGAGGGAGAATAGAAGCCATGGTCGCTAAATGACTTGGAGACACCTTCTCCTCGGCCCTCTGAGGCGTTGTCAGTTTGGGGAGTCGGGGGCAGAGAAAAATCAGCCAGTGAGTTTTCCTGGAGCGCATTGGTTGTCTCATTGGAGGCCCCACTGTCACTGATGTTGTCCATGCTGAAGTCGTTGGACAGCGTCTCCAGGACGGTGGTATCCTGGGACCTCACTGATAATTCATCCAAACCAGAGTCGAGCTCCTCTGGGGTCAAAGAGACATGGACTGATTTTGAGAACTGATCCAAAATCCCATGGTCCTCATCCTTGACCACAGTGAGGACTGCGCGGGCACTCGTAAACTCCTTCTCCTCCGCCCACAGTTTAGACAAGGGTCCGCGCTTGGAGGGCTCGGTGTAGGGCCCTTCTTTTCCCTGAGGAGCCGTGCTGCCCTGGCCTCCGCCTGCCAACTGGCCCTCCGAAGCACAGGCTTTCTGCCCCTTGGCTGCAACGGCAGCACCGTCGTCGGGAGGTCCCCCAGCGGAAGCTGGCCTGGAGATAGTCATTGGCTTGTCCGAGTTGATTGAGCTCAGAGGCCTGCAGAAGGGCTTAATAGAAAAAAGCCTGGGCGTGCTCTGGCCCTTGGCCACCGCTTGCCTGGAATTCTCCATCAGTTGAAACTGTTTCCGAGCAGCAGAGAAATCTATCTGCTCTGTAACGATGTCATCCTTTGCATTTTCAGTCATGGCTGAGTGTTCCCCGGAGGCGGCGGGGGTCGTGCAGGGCTGGGGTGGGGGCTGCTGCTGCTGTAGCAATTGCTGCAGCATCAGCTGCTCCTGCTGCGCCCTTCTCTCCTTGCGCTCCTTGTACCTTTTATGCGACTCCAAGTGCTCCTCATCCAGCTGCTCCTCGAGGGTCTTCTCCTGGGGAGGGTTCCACCACTTGGCTGCGATGCCGGGGTTCTTTTTCACTGCCTGGCTCCGGATGAGTTCTCGCCTTTCCTTCTCCAGCTCCAGCATCTCTTCGGAGGGCCTCACTTTTCTGACATAGAACTGCTCTTTCGCATTCTTTTCGTACTCAAAGAGCTTGGAGGGCTTCTTGTCTTCATGGAAGGCCCTCAGCTCAAACTTGGCCTCTTTCTTCACTGTGGTGAGTGTGAGCTCCCCATCCCGGGAAGAGCAGCGGGAGCTGGTGGAGGAGCTGGGGCTCACGGGGGCCTGCAGGCCATCTCCCAGCAGGTCTCGGGGCTGGTCAGCAGGGTGACCGTTTGCTCGTTCACCTTCTGCCATGGCGTCGAAGTTACTTTTACTGAGTTCAATGTGAGGAGGTACCTGCCTGTCAGTTGCTCTCTCGATGGGTTCTGGGTGGCCAGATGGGCTCAGGTTGCCCACCTGGATGGTGGTACCAGGCTCTGGGGAGGAAGTTCCGTTGTATGTTCCGTCCACAGCAGAATCACAGCAGTTGGCTTCCAGCACCTCGTCAAGATATTGGATCTCTCTGGCTACATCGTTATCCAGGGATTCGTGGTCAGTGAGGAGGCCATTGTGTGTGGGTGAATAGAAAGGGGAGGGGGGGTCCATGGAATGTGAGGTCAGGGTGATTCCAGGGACACTTTTACATTCTGCAACTGAGACCTCAATTTCCATCTTTTGGGGATCTGGAGAAAGACAGCGGGGAGCAGGCTCCAGAAGCTTGGCACTACAGTTATCTCGCTCAGTCTTCAGACGGATATCATCCTCGGAAAGCTGGGGGGACTTCTGCAACAAAGAGGAGACAGAAGCCAGGGTTAGACACTACATCTCATACAGACATGGACACCGAGAAATGAACTCGTAACTACCTGGGAGGAAAATTAACAGTGATGCGTTCTTTGTCTCCTAACAGTCCTTGAAACATTCTCTCTGCTGTGGCCACCATTTCCTAGTCTTGTAGAATTTCCAGATTGCATTTTGTTTTCTGGATGTCCAGGGAACTTTCAAGGGAGCTCCAGGGGCTTTGTGGGTAAAGAGCTGCTCTGCCAGCCCAAAGGCAGGTGGTTGGAATACACTAAGCACTTCATGGGAGAAAGACAGGCCACCTCCTATGCCACTTACAGCCTCCGAAAAACTCCTGGGGTCAGCTATGAGTAGGTTCTGATCAACAGCACATAACAGCAACAAGAGAGTGTCCAAGAAAAGCTAGCCTAACTTTTTTTTTTTCTAACTTTTAAAATTTAAAAGTAAATTAGGGTTTAAAACATCGGAACACACATTACTCAAACATTATTTTTATATGCTAGAGCCTAAAACATTTCATAGCAAACTACTGCAGGTTATGTAATAGGTCTATTTGTGTATCCTCTGAAGGGGGGGGAACCTTTTCCATTTGTAAATCTTCTTGAAAATAAGGGTCATGTGCCAGTTTTAAGACAATAATTCTCTACACAAGAAACTTTTCTGTAAATCTTTTCTAAATACAATACTCGAAAATGACGAATCCCTTCAAACAGCCCCATTAAACCACAGCTCCACATACATGGTCACAAGGGCCATGCACATTATAAACACCATAACTAAAGCCACATGCTGCATAAATCTGTCTCCTTGGACTGGACCAAAATAATACTCCTAAGTTAAGAAGTGAGTGTTGCTTTGAATAGCTGGTGGTCAGAAGTACTGTTCCTCTACCTTCAAAGTTGTTTTATACGTGACAGCTCCAATTTCTGGTTAAACAAGAAAACTGTGTCTTCATGGCTGCCATTTAAAAATGTACCATCATCTCTCCCATCTAGACTATGTAATCTGGCATTTTTAAGATTAACTTAAAATTAACTTGGGAGTTATGGTGGCTGAATGGGTAAAGAACTGCACTGCCCATCTGCGGAAATGTGGTTTGAGAAAAATGGGCAATCTCTTCCTGTGTGATTGTTGTTGCTGTTGTTGATTGTCTTCGAGTCGAGTATGACTCATAGTGGCCCTATGAACAAAAGGCCGGAAACCTTTCTATAACTATTGACATCAAAGTTCATAGTTTCCAAGGCATGCAGTTTAGGAAGTGGATGTCATTCTGGCTTCCAAACTGCCTCTGAAAACCCACTGAAGGGTCAGCTATGAACCAGCCAGTTCCAACTTGATAACAACAACAGAACTCTGTATGTGTTGATGTTGTATATCTGATTCTACCCATAGCTGACAAACTCAGCTTTGTCATCCTTTTTATTCACTTAAGTTTTGAATCATTTGGAAGGCTTAAAACACAATATTAAAGCACATCATTTTAGGATGATTCTCAAAGGTGTAGTATCAAAATCCTTCCAAGAAAAGTAGATAATTACAGAATTTTTTTATGTGATCTTAAAAAACGTGGAAGGTTAATCCTCAATGCTCTGCATGACCATAAGAATGCTGGGAATTCTGCTATCCAGGGACTGAAAGGGGCCTGAATGTGTCCCTCACGGTTTTCCACATTTACCTTCCTATTTCTATCAGTCAGATAACAGGGCTTTCTTTGCTAACAGGCAACAAGAGTGATTATGATTTTAAAGAATAAACAAAGCACTGCCTTCCAGTTAATTCCCATTCACAGCAACCCTACTGCTCACAGACCTGTCTATCCCTTACAGTGTCCAAGACTCTATGACTTTAGAATCAGACTGTCTCAAATCCTTCCCAAGGAGTGACTAATGGACTCAAACTGCCAAACATTTGATTATCAGCCCATTTATGGGTCTTTCAGTTCTAGAATGAGATAAAAAGGCATGCCAACTAAAGAAGTTTTCACTGCCAGTAAGAAACCATTAACTTTTTGAGGGTAAGAGTAGGAGTAAGGCAATCATCAATAACTTCTACTCAAAGTCTAAGACTTATGTTTTCAGAACACTCAATTTTTACTGGCTGTCAACTTTCAAACACAAACTCTTTGCTGTTGAATCCTTACTGACTCACAGTGATCAGACAGGACACAGAAGGTCCGCCCCAGAGGGTCTACAAAACGGAAATTCTTAAAAGAAGCAGATTGCTTCATCTTTCTTCCCAAAGAGTGAGATGGTGAGGCTCAAAGTGCTGAACTTTTGGTTAACCGCCAAGGCTTCAACTACAGTTAGCCACATTCAATTTTTAATATATCTGTATTAATGTTAGTAATTTTTATATATCTGTATTATCTTAGCAAACTCAATAGAAAGTTATTACTGGGATAAATATATCATCTACAGTGCTGCTATAGTGAAAATGTACTCCCACTGTTTCATTTCTCTGAAGTTTTGCTTTTGAATATTCATTAGGATTACAGAGGGGTTCCCCCCCCCCTTTTATCTCTTTTGGCTTTTAAGGGGGAAGGGGTAAAGTAGGAAAATGGTAGGATTTGAAATATGGTTTTAAAAAAAATCACTTTTGCTAAAACATAAGCTACATTCAAAATAATTCCCAATAGAGTTTTGGAAGTAGTAACCGTAAAGGAACTTAAAGGAAGCTAAATGGCAAATTATCATGTAGTTCATGTGTTCATGCATTCATGCATTTTCACACACAGGAAGCTTAATTTGCAGGGACCATAATACAATTAGCAGTAACAATAAGCTACAGGAGACAGTAAATACGCTCAAACTTAACACAGATTGACTTTCCCATATTTCTTGGAAGCTGTGAGTCTAGTTTAGAGTTTACTTAGTCTGGGTTGAGAGAAGTGAGAAACTTGCTTATATTTATTTCTTGTTAATTATGATGACAGGAGGGACAGGGCCAAACCGTACTGCCTTCCCTGTTTCTCCTACGACTTTCAGGCTCCTTCCACCAGCACTGTTTCTCTTCCCCATAAAACTTTGATTTCAAGTATCTAAAGCTCGTGAAGATGATGGCCTGAGAGTTTTTTCTTTTTAATCCTCAAAATTATATCAACTCTTTCCAAGACATACTTTTTGAAATAATTGTTCCTATGTAACATTTGAAAAATCTTAGTCTAGCGTTTGAAAAATGCATATTTTTGGCTGTGTGTTTATAATGAGGCCAAAACAAACAAACAAAAACCACCCAAAACAACACTTGCATTTAGCATTGAGTCAGGAATGACTCGAGCTAACTAATGAGTCAAGCCTCATTAGTTATGTGACCAATCAAATGAAAATTTTAAATGCAAATAATTATTGACAAGGGGAAGAAATCAGGAAGTTAAGGAGCTGAGTAGAAGATATCAAAGGGCAGCTCAGGAAGAAAAGGCAAAGTATTATAATGAAATGTGCAAAGAGCTGGAGTCAGAAAATAAAAGGGATGAATTCATTGGCATTTCTTAAGGTGAAGAAACTGAAGAACATATTCAAGTCTTGGCTTGACTGACAGTACTTAAGGATGCTATGGTCAGAATACTGAATGATCCAGGAAGTATCAAAAGAAGATGGAAAGAGTACAGAATCATTGTACCAAAAAGAATTGTATGACACAGAAAACTTTCATGAAACAACATATGATCAGAAGGCAATGGTGAAGAAAAAGGAAGTTTAAGCTTCTCTGAAGGAAATGACAAAAAACAAAGCCCCAGTAATTCATGGAATACCAGTTGACATATTTCAACAGACAGATGCTGCCCTGGACGTGCTCACCAAGCTGTGCCAGGCAATCTGGCCAACTGACTGGAAGAGATCCACATTTATTCCCATTAAAAAAAAAAAAAAAAAAGGTGATCCAACAGATTAGTGGAATATCACTAATATTACATGCAAGCAAAATCTTGCACAAGATTATCCTAAAATGATTGGAACAGTACATGGACAAAGAACTACTACTAGAAATACAAGCTAGATTTAGAAGAGGCTATGGTACTAGGGACATCATACCCAATGTCAGATGGATCTTGGCTGAGAGCAGAGTAGACTAGAAGAATGTCTGTGTTTCATTGGCTATGCAAAGGCATTTGACTCTATGTGGATCACAACAAACTGTGGCTACCTATGAGAAAAATGGGAATTTCAGAACACCTGATTGTGCTCATGCAAAATCTATACTTAGACCAGAAAGCAGTCATCAGTACAGAGCTAGGAAACACTATATTGTTCAAAATAAGGAAAGGAGTACATCAGGGATCAGGGATACGTCTTGTCTTCATACCTTTTCAATCTATATACAGAACAGATCATTCAGGAGACTGGACTTTATGAGGAGGAATGTGGCATCAGGATTGGAGGAAGACTCATCAACAACCTACGTTATACAGATGATACAACCTTGCTTGCTAAAATTGAGAAGGGCCTGAAACATTTGCTGCAGAAGGTGAAGGACTGAACTTCAATATGGATTGTTGTTCAACATCAAGAAGACAAAGATTCTCACCAATGGGCCAACTGGCAGTATCATAATGGAGAGGAGATTGAAATTGTTAATTAGCTCTACATTCTTGGTTCTACAATTGGCACTACCAGTCAGCAAATCAAAAGATGAATTGTGTTGGATAAACCTGCTGCCAGAGACCTCTCAAAAGTGCTAAAAGTGCAATGATGTCATTCTGGAGACTAAGGTGCACCTGATTCAGGCCATGGTCTTTCCAATTAATTGCTATATGTCAGAGAGCTAGACAATGACTAAGGATGATAGAAGAAGAATCAATGCCTTTGAACTGTGGTGCTGGAGAAGAGTGTTGAACATTCCAAGAACTGCCAAGAGAACAAACAGATTTGTCCTGGAGAAAGTGAATACTTATAGATGAGGGTTTTGAAGCTCCATCTCATACACTTCGGGCATATTTCCTGGAGGGTTTAGACTTTGAAGAATAATCTCGT